GATTGGTGTGAACTTGAAGATTTCGCAGGCATGCGACCAGGAAATACCTTCAGTACAGACTGACGTGAGACCGGATGCAACTGCTCCGACTGATTTGGCACCCGTGCCGGGGTCACTAGTTGTTGATGAAATCAGAGACTTGGAAACGCCTCCGGCGGTGTCTTCCGAAGGAAACGAATCACCAGCTGTACTTCAAGAGACAGCTACGGCTGATGCACCGGATTCCCCCCGATCTCCTCAACGCGCCCCTCCTTTCTTCCCTTCACTGACACCAAAGTTAATCACTCTTCCAGACACAGGTTCTGATACCACCACAGCGGAGGTTTTGACTGGCGAAGCTTCGAATGTTCCTAACGCCTCATTCACTTCTTGTAAAAAACCTGCTGATTCACAAGATCACCCAAGTTCCGAAGTGTATCCCGACGTACTTACCGGAACAAATAAACTCTCAGATGCCTTCAAACCTGTTGACAACCGACAGACCAGTGCGGGTGACTCTGAACCAGTCCATCCTGTCTGTGTAGATACCGAATCTTCTGCAGGTTTGCCGGATGGCCATGTGGGGTCGGATAGTGCACTGTGCGGTACTTACAACGTGATAGAACCTGTTTACTCTGCCGACCAGCTGGCAGCGTCAGTGCCCGTTTTGGATGTAGAAAATGTTTCTCTTACCACGATAGATCCAAGCGGACTTGACAGTCCGACTCCGTCTGCCGAGCAACTGGCAGCTTCAGTGCCCGTTTTGGACGTAGAAAATTGTTCTCTTCCCACGATAGACTCAAGCGGAGCTGACGATTTGGCCAATCCGTTTGCCCACCAGCTGGCAGCTTCAGTGCCCATTTTGGACGTAGAAAATTGTTCTCTTTCAACGATAGACCCAAGCGGAGTTGACAGTCCGAACAAGTCGTCTGCCGACCACCTGGCAGCTTCAGTGCCCGTTTTGGACGTAGAAAATTGTTCTGTTCCCACGATAGACTCAAGCGGAGCTGACGATTTGTCCAATCCGTTTGCCCACCAGCTGGCAGCTTCTGTGCCCGTTTTGGACGTAGAAAAGTGTTCTCTTCCCACGATAGACCCAAGCGGAGCTGGCAGTCTGACCAATCCGTCTGTCCACCAGCTGGCAGCTTCAGTGCCCGTTTTGGTTGTAGAAAATTGTTCTCTTCCCACTATAAACCCATGCGGACTTGAACGTCCGACTTCGTCTGCCGAACAACTGGCAGCGTCAGTGCCCGTTTTGGATGTAGAAAATGTTTCTCTTCCCACGATAGATCCAAGCGGACTTGACAGTCCGACTCCATCTGCCGAACAACTGGCAGCTTCAGTA